GATCCTTCGCTGGCTGTGCTGATTTAAATCTAGCGGTTCTGTTGTGTTTGTGTCGCAAGTTCAGTGACGCAGGTAGTGACGATTCTCTCCGGCCAATCCGTGATCAGCAGAGTTTACACGTCACGTTTTGGTAACGGTACGGTTCACTTGGAACCCCAACCTAGGTGGTACTAAAAAAAGTACCAGGTACTGTACCCAGTGGAAAACCCCCAAAAAGTGAACCGTACCGTACCGTACCATGCAGTGGAAAAGCGCCAATAGGTACCGGTGCCATATTGGTACCGGGTTTCGGTACCCTATTCACAACCACATTTCTGGAGCCCCAACACTGCACATCTTGTATGTTCCCTTAATCAAACACACCTGATTCAGATCATCAGCTCATTAGTAGAGACCAAGAGCTGAAATGGGTCTGTCAGATGAAGGAGACATAAAATGTGCAGTGTTGGGAGGGCCCAGGAACATGGTTGGGAACCACTGCATTAGAGTGTTGTGTTGTTGCTTTGGAGGTGCATTTCCAGCTGGTGAAACAACAGCACTTTCATTTCATCACATCTTGTCCCATTTCAGACTTATGTTGAAACACCTGCTGTTACTCCCCATCCAGCTTTATTTCCAGGTTTTCCTTTATTCTCATTTCAAACAGTTTTCCCTTTGGATGTTTCATCACATCTTGTCCCATTTCAGACTTATGTTGAAACACCTGCTGTTACTCCCCATCCAGCTTTATTACCAGGTTTTCCTTTATTCTCATTTCAAACAGTTTTCCCTTTGGATTACCTTTGGCTTCATGGGTGCTTACAAGGTGCGTGCTGTCAGCTCTTGCTTCCCTGCAGTGTGAAGGCGATTCCTGTGCTTCCGTTCTCAGCTGTTGACTGACAATGTGTGACGCCTCCATAACTTATGTCACAAAGTTGGGTTTTATGCTCAATCGTGACAAGTGCCATTATTCTTCAGACTTTCCAGTATATCTCTTTCAGTTAGGCTAACAGCATGCCAGCTTTTCTCTCTACTGTCACAGTACAATGTTTTTGATTCACAATAGCTCAGGTGCTGCCAGTCAAACTTGTCCAATATATCACACTGTGAAGTCTTGGAAGCGTTCTAGCCAAAGCTACACCTGTGGTCCGACTGGGCATGTTACATCTACGCCCCTTTCAGTTCTGCCTGATTGACAGACACCTGTCAGTCAAGGCACAGAGGCCATTAGTAAGAGTAATGGGGTGGAAGTGTATGTTCCCATAATGCAGCTGCAATGCAGTGGAACCTTAACCTGGTCCTTAACACTTTATGTTGCTCCCTTTGAGCCATTGCCCGAGGGGAAGAGTAAATGGTTTTCTTTTTTTATTATTTTCTTTTTTATTGGTCATTGCCATTGAGAACCTATGAGTGAAACTGCGAACGCATCCTGCTGTTTTACTGAAGATCTTGAGTCAATGTTCCCACTGTTTTGTCAGCATTTGAATCTTGAATCAGTGTTTGAAACATGAATCATATGTTGCCTAAGAGCTCTGCAGCTATATGTACACACTACAGCTTTGTAGTGGATGAATGACTGACTGAATGTTTTGGTGACCCTTGTAAGGGACCAGCCCTGTGAAAAACAGCTCTTTTAATGTATAGACGGTCAAAGAGATGCTTGTCATTAATCATTTGTTTTGGATTGAGAGAAGTCGCAGGCAATGTTGCGACAGGTATGATTCAGGTTACGGCATTTCTCAATAGTTTCTGTGGTACCCATAAACACTGATTAACTGTCATGCAACTCTGACAGCAATTAACATCGGCTATAATGTAGTCAGTAGTGCCCTCTGGTGGTCTGGAGCCAAAGAAATAGAATGCTGGTTATAGTTCGGCTCTCTTGGTTCGTTTGGTCCGGACCAAAAAAAGAAAATGATACATTTGGTCCTGGTCCTAGTGCCACGTCAGCATTTCACAAGGTGACAACTTTAATAGGTTGTCAGCAAGAATAAAGCCTTAGAGACATTTCCACTCAGCTGTGCCTTCTGGCGGTCTTCCAGCAGTCACAAAATCACAGTTACATGCATAACCTGTGTTATCAGTTGAAATCGTTATCAAATGAGGCTGTTTCATTGATCTGTGATAAGCTTTTGCTTCAATTTGGATTTGCAGTCTCTGCAGTTTTTAATGAAATTACTGCAAACAAGCAACAGCAGATAAAAGATGAATTGCAGTGTTTATTTCAGACCACTTTATGCGCACACTTTGTAAGCTTTTCTAATTGAACACCTCTTTAAGCCAGCTTTTCATAGTCCAAGCGTGTGGTTTTGCTGACACTGAGGTGTATTTGAAGCAATAAGGTGAGAGAGGTCATTCTTTTTTGTGAATATGTTCACTATTGGAGGGAATTGTTATGCAGCAGAATTAAACTTCAGTCACTCAAAGAAGTAGTTCACCCAAAATGGAAAATCTGATGAAAAATTACTCACCCTCGGGTCATTCAAGATGTAGATGAATTTGTTTCTTCACTGGAACAGATTTACAGAAATAAACATGTAACTACATTTCTTGCTCACCAGTGGATCCTCTGCAGTGAATGGGTGCCATCAGAATGAGAGTCCAAACAGCTGATAAAAACCTCCCAAGTAATCCACGCCACTCCAGTCCATCAGTTAACGTTTTGTGAAGAGAAAAGCTTTCTCCCAAAAGTCCATCCCCTGTTGTCCTCTCACATCCAAATTCACAGACATACAGGTATGTGACCCTGCACCACAAAACCAGTCATAAGGGTCAATTTTTTTAAATTGAGATTTATACATAAACTAAAAGCTGAATAAATAAGCTTTCCATTGATGTATGGTTTGTTAGGATAGGACAATATTTGGCCGAGATACAACTATTAGAATATCTGGAATCTGAGGGTGCAAAAAAATCTAAATATTGAGAAAATCATCTTTAAAGTTGTCCAAATGAAGTTCTTAGCAATGCATATTACTAATCCAAAATTAAGTTTTGATATATTTACGGTAGGAAATTTACAAAATATCTCCATGGAACATGATCTTTATTTAATATCCTAATGATTTTTGGCATAAAAGAAAAATCGATAATTTTGACCCATACAATGTATTTTTGGCTATTGCTACAAATATACCCCAGCGACTTAAGACTGCTTTTGTGCTGCAGGGTCACATGTTTGTTTTGAACTGTTTTGCTTGTAAACAGTGCTTGATCTGTGCATATTTCTACCCTGATTCAGGCAAGATGACTTTTTCACTGAAGAATCATGGTGAATCATTCCTTTAATTTACTCTGTTGTACATTATAATGTCTGGAATTCTGTATTGACTAATCAGCTTTCAGTAATGGAATTTTCCATGTTATAAAGTTGTTTTCAGGCCGTTTGGAAATGTAATAGCCACATGTTGCTGTGAGAAGTTACCGGTTCTCCTGAGACGATGATGCTCTTACAGTTACTAGGCACTAGTGTTTGTATCCTCTCCTCATCATTAGTGTTGCCGCTGGTGAACAGCTTTGATTATTGCAGAGACCAGTACGGTGGAAAGTGAGAGGGTTGTTTGGATACTCTTGACCTGTAACAACCGTACTTTCATCCCCAATCTTACACTGAGCCTTTTAGAGGTACAACCTCCCACCATGTAGCGGTCCTGCTGGCTCAAATCCTGTTTCCTGGCAACACATCTGTTACTTTGCCTCATTTTTGTCTTCCCACATTTTGGTTTCTCCGGATTTGATTCATCACGTCCAGAACGTCGACATGAATGTATAATGAATGTTCCCATAGTCACAAAACGCATATTAATGTTTTTTTTTTTAAACCTGTGAAGGACAGTTTTTTTTTTTTTTGTCTCTTTTTATTGAACTTGTTTTTCCTTTTCTTATTTTCCTTTATATTCAGTTTTTATAATAATCGTATTGTACTGAGTCAAGAACGTATTCCCTCATTCTCTGAATTTTCACTCTGGCCAAACTAAAATCATTCAGGACACACAAAATGTATTATTATTATTATTATTATTATTATTAAGTATGCCTAGATGTGTTGAACAAACATCTGGATAATCAAGTAAACATAAGTTGCTTCATCCACTAAGTGGTCATCTTGAAATATTATTAACAATATTAAAGTTATGTTTACTTCTTACAAATCATTGAAGATTTTACAGCAAAAAGACTGAAGGGTGTCGTTTTTATGCCAAGATATATATACGCTGATGCATGAGATCTAGTTTTGGGTCTCATTGTTTTCAGGGGGCCCTACAAATTGGTGATGCGTTACTGTTGATAATATGTAGCATTCTTCTTTTTTTTTATATAGCTAATAAAGGAGTGTTGTTTTTCTCCTGCATTGTTTGCTTTATGTCATAAAGTGAGTTGGTCTCTGTGTTTGTGTTGTCCCTGTAGAAATATAAGCCGGGCAGATGTGATGACATTCTGAAGTGGAAGCCGCCCAGCCACAACTCAGTCGATTTCAGACTCAAGATCACCAAAGTCGGCGGGGAGGGGTGAGTCATCGTCACCATGACAACTGCATTCACTACGCTCAAATCAATGCTAAACATCAGAACACATCCGTACAAACGTCCCACAACTCGCACGGAGACAAAGACATCCAGGAGGATTTCTCCTGTGTGTCTGTCTTTATCTCTATGTATGCGCTGATGTGTGAGCGATTATAAAACATTCAGCTCTGAGTCACACGCGTTAGCAACTTTTCGACTTGCTACTTTTCGGATCGTAATACGCACCAATTACGCACCACTCACGCCCGTTCCTGAACAGTCTGGTGACTTTGATTATGTGCGGCTTGACATTTCTCTCAGAAGAAATGTAGCGAAGCATAAAGTGTGAGTTCTCTAGTGTTCCTCATTTACGCCTCTCTCAACCCATCTGTCCACTCTGTCCAGACTCGAGATTTTACTGTCCTCAAATGAGTCGGGCTTATCTTTGAAATGCAGGCGGTCCAGAGGGAGAGTGCTGACCCTTCTGCAAGGACTTTTGTGTACAAAGCAATTGTTTTTATTTCCATGTGTGTAAATCCCGTCAAGAAGATGTCCAGGTTATGTTTCACCCCAAATTCGAAAAATAAAAATAAACATGTATTTTACGCAAGAACATTTTCTTGACAATTAAGCACTTTTTTCCCCCATGAATGCATGGTACTACATTGTGAAAATAACAATGATTTATTTTATTTTACTGCTTTTAATTTATGATGATTTTATGATGATCAGATTCATCAACAATAATCTTTACAAGCAAACTCAAAGACGCCTGGATGCATTTTAGAGAAGAAAATGTGCTTAATTGTTGCAGTGCGAAATATAATTTCTTTTTGATGTAACTGGGACATGTTTTCATGAGGTTCACCCATACTGTAGTGCTTGTTCGTGTTTTGATATTAGATCATCTTGTGGATAATTTTCTGCCTTACACACACAAGATGTATTTCTGCAGATCAGCTAGACGGTGTGCAATGGAACGGAACAGAACACCACGGTCTCGCGGCATGTTTTAGCAACCAGGCTTGTCATCACCATTTGTCCATAATTACGATATTATTAAGACATGCGACTCCAGGAACGAAAACTGTAACAAACAACGGAATAATTTGCACAATGTTACAGAAAACAGAAATGAAATCCATTTCTGTCAACCCTGATAAATTTTCATGACATCCATTTCCAATTTCTCACACCTCCCTTGTCATGAGCACACTTCGCTTCCAAAACAACAACACAGTAATCCACAGCAAAAGAAAATATATGTGCAACAAGCTTTTTCTCAACCGATATGAGGAACCTTTATTCTGCTTAATGTCAGTGACTTTGACAGACCAACTTTTTTTGAAGCTTATTTATAGAAATTTGGGTTGCACTTTATTTTAAGGTGTCCTTGTTACAGTGTAATTATACATTTAAGTACTGAGTAATATTAATTAACTATATGTACTTACTATAGGGTTTGGATTAGGGTTACTTGCATGTAATTATGCATAATTCATTGTTATTATAATAGTAAGTACAGGTAACGTGTAACAAGGACACCTTAAAATAAAGTGTTACCGAAATTTGTCTATTGTGTAACAATTTTACTTGAAGCTTAGCAGTTATAAAGAAAATATTTAATACTGTCTGCGGATAGGAGAATGAATCAGAGATCTTAACGGCAAATGCACGTTTTTACACTAAGCAGCATTAAACTGTAAATTAATAATTAAATACCTTAACCTCTTAACTGTCAACCCCCCCCACTCCTTTTTGAACATATACATGAAAATGCACTAGCCAAAGGAAAATGGTTGTAATTCATGAACACTTTGGAATACATACCTAAGGTTGGTCTCTTTTTAAGACGACAATCAGCAGATTATTGTCGTAAAGCATTAAAAAAAAAGTGTAAAAAAGTTATAGAAGTTTAAGTTTACTGTAATAAAATGTAGTGTACTAAGAAATATTTTATATAAAATAAACGTTTTACTGAATATTTTGAAATCTAAATTTTCTATGAAACCAAAGCCATATGTGTAGCTATGTTCCAAATTTGAAGTTGTTATCACAAATATTTAGGTTCCTATGAGATTTTGTTTATGTGCTATACCAAAAAAATGGTGACACCCAAACTCACAAATAGATTTTTTTTAATGCATTTTCCTGTCAAAAAAAATATACATTTTTGTCACAATATTACAAAATTGTCACCAGACTCAGGCCATTCCAATAATATGCGTTCTGTCAAAAAATTTACTGAAATATTGTAGGAAATTTTGTAATTTGACACTTGACACCGCCCACTAGGGGGAGGAGCACGCAGAAAGGATTTAAAGTATCATTCCCATGTCTGATTTCAAAACAGTTTTGACAGGGTGAATTTTGAGTGTTTAAGCTTTCGATTGATATCTGAATTGGGATGATAACTAAATTGTGTGATTGGGAAAAAAGACAATAAAAAAGGAGTTTATAGGTTACATATCTCCATTTTATTAACTTTTTTGTTTGAAAGAATTTTGGTTCTTCTTTGTCATTTTTTTTTTTGTACATTAAGAAACCAATTACACAGAACTCATTGTTGCATTTAAAAATATGAGACAGCACAGCGGAATGGAAATGAACGCAGAGAACAACAAGATGCATCTCAAATGGCAAAGGTGTCTTTTTGCCACATTTTAATAGAAAAACTATTAAAAATCAATGCATTGAAATGCAGAAACACATTCTGTTTGCTTTCCGTCATGCACTTACATTATGAGGGAAAGAGTTCACCTGTGCAGTGGCAGATTCTGCACCAGGAAGGCTCTGTGTTATCAAAAGATTTGTCAAATGAGATGCATAAAGATCTACATCCATGTGTTTAATGACGTAGCTGATCATAGCACAGTGTACTTTCATTTCAAAAGAATGTTATTGAGCATTCTTTTATTTCACCAGTGAAACATCACTTGAAAGGGAGGCTGGGACTTAAAATGCTGTTTCTACTCTGAACACAAAAAAATGTAGTTTCTGAACCCTGAGGTGAATGCACAGTTTCTACTGTATACTCTCAGTACACTTGAGTGTCCCGCCCCCACACTCTTCTGATTGGTCCATTGGTGTAAAATTGACATTGATGCCCTGCGCAGCAAAAGTTGGACTATTTTTAACACAACAAGCCATTTTCTAAACTAAGAAAGGAAAACGGCAAGACATGCAAGATGCGGTGGAAAAGATGTTCATCTGACGCATGTATACGTAGAGCAGAAATTAAAAATAGCGCAGACAGAATGCATGAACGGAGTGCTGACTCTTGGAGGTAAAGATGGATTCAAAAGGCGGCTTACAAAAACATTTCAAGCACACAAATTGAAAATGAAAAGTGCTCAAAAAATATTATTTATGCTATTATAAAAATTTAAATGATAACGTGAGCAAGTAAACTGGATGTCCACTGGGAATGAATAGATTCTAATGAGCCAATAACTGTGCATGTAAACGTTTCTACATCATCATTAGGATTTTACCTAGAGGATATTTTGCTCTAAACTTTGATTAACAGGTTTCAATATTCTCAAGCTTTTTTTATTCCAAATTGATGAGGCAAAAAATGTATGTTAAATATATATTTTCTGAAAGCCAATGGGCAGTGCGTGTCATCGAAGCATCATAGAGGCCTGGCTTTTCGATAGCAGATGTGTCTGCTATTCGATAGCAGATGATAGCGAGCGGCTGAGGTTATTAGCAGGGTTACTTTCCTGCCAGGTAACAGAGAAAGATGACATCTCAACTCTCCTCCCACACAGCTCTCTCTCTCTCTCTCTCTCTCTCTCTCTCTCTCTCTCGCTCTTTATCTGTGAGTGCTTTTCCCTCTCACCGTGCTCTCTTTATTGTCGAGAGCTTTGAAATGAGATGGGTAAAATAATAAAAGAACCCCTGACTCTTTGCATAGACGACACTGAATGTTGGAGAGCGGTAATGAGAAGACCTTGGGTTCATTTTGGGCAATTTTTAAGGAAATTAATTTGTACTTCACATTTGTGCAGTTTGAAAACAGATAAACATTTCATTAGTCTGGCGGCTCCGCAAACACGCTCCACGTGTTAAAAGCAGCAAGAATGGATTGTTTCAGAACATGTCTCAATAGTCTAGTAACATTTTTGTAAAAAGCCTTTGTTGCCTTGAAACCTAAAATAGTGAAGCAAAATCAAATCTTCTCCTGCTGAATGTACAGACTCTGTAGTGTTAAAAGCTAAAGCTCAGAAATTGTGTATTAAAGCTTCCTAAATTCATACTATACCTGCATGATCTACAGGCACGAGTCTATTTGGATGCAGTTCCCTGTTCAGTTTCAATGGAGAGAGTGAGATAGATGCCACTGCTTGTGAAGAGAAAACTCTGCAAAACATGGATATGATCTTTTCCATGTGTCATTAGCTGGGTTTCCATCCAGTGTTGCGAATTTAACTTCTGCGCAAAATTGGAATATCGAATAAGCACCGTTTCCATCCACGAGTCAAAGAGAACAAAATCGTCACTTCCTGATAAACTGGCACTAAATATCATTAAGAAAATTAGGAGAAGCCACTGAATATATTAATTTTCATATATAATAAATGATAATGCGCCTCAGAGCTAGCAGGCGAAACATAATCAATGCGGTCATTGCTTTTGGAGGTGGATGCCTGCTGTTTGGGAACACAGTCGTGTAAGTCAGGTCTGGGAGGCAATTATACAGAAATACTTGATGACAGACTTTGCTCGTGCATTTCAGAATGACCATAACAACATTTCAGATGCTGTGTAACGAGTTCGGTCCGCTGGTTAGTCAGGTCCCATAGCGCAAAGTCACATGACTTTTTTGATGCGCATGGAGGAATTTATTCGGCAAATGCGTTTCCATCTCCCATTATATGCATTAACCCTCTTTCACACAAGTCAAAAACCACCTCAAGCGAGCGTAAAAACTTTTTTGCGAATTACGGGATTTTTTTTTTCTCGAAATTTGGCGTTTCTATCACTCATTTATGATGCAG